TAACAATAATAATATACCAGTCCTAGACGCTTGGGAAGTGTTCGACTTGTGATTTTCTGATACGAAATCCAGCATATAGATCCCGTTTGCTGTGACATACTGTGCTTTTGTGTCAATAATAATAATAACAACAATAATATTTATATTCCACCCTTCTCACCCTGTACTGAATAAAACGTTTGGGCATCCCAAGAAGAAACAAACAGGTATGTTTGGATGGAGAGGAGAAAGAGGAATGGGGGAAGGAGTAGAGGTCAAAATGGAGGGTGGGTGTGAAGGGAGAAGGAGGGAGGAAAGGGTAAAGAGAAGGGAAAGGAGAAGGGAAGAGGGAGAGTGGCGACATGATGAGGAGAATGGGTAAGAGAAGGAAGGAGGCAGCAATGGGTGGATGTGGAGAAAGCAGCACAGGTAAATAGGAGAAGGAGAAGAAAAAAGGAAGAAGGGAAAGAAGAAAGGGGAAAGAAGGATAGAGGAGGAGGAGAAAGGAGAAGGAGAAGGAGAAAGCAGGAGAAAGGAGAAAGAAGGGAGGAGAAGGAGAAGAAAGAAGAAAGGAGAATGAAGGAGGAAAAGAAAGAAGGAGAGGAAAGAAGGAGAAGAAAGGAGAAGGAGAAGAAGAAAAGAGAAAGAAGGAAGGAGAAGGAGAAGAAAGCAGGAGAAAGGAGGAAGAAGGAAGGAGAAGGAGGAAGAAGGAAGAAGGTAAAGGAAAAGAAGGGGAGAAGAAGAAGAAAGAAAGAAGAAGGAGAAGGATAATAATGAATGAGACATGTGTATGAGATAAGGAAGGAGAATAAATTATGATAAAGTATAAGTAGTGAATAATAGAAAGAGAAAAAGAATGAAAAGAAATTATAATTATAATTAGAATGAATTAATTAATGAATGAAGGAATGAATGAATTAAGTAGTAATTAAGTACTGAATTAAGCGAAGTACGGCAGTACGGAATTATAATAATTAAAGCGATAAGGATAATAAGAAATATGAGATTAATTGAAGTATTAATAATATAATTGAAAATAAGTAGTATTATAAGAGGATATAATATAATTTACAAATAATAAATAAATTATAATGTAATGCAATATAATACTACTAATAATATATTATAATTATATATTTATATTACATGTAATATTACTAATAATATTACAATATAATGGTATAGTACAATATAGAAATATTTAATACTGATATTGTACTATGCTAATATGTTAATAATATAATATAATATATTGTATATACATATAATACTTATAATATTATAATGTAATGCAATATAATACTACTAATAATATGATATTATATAATTATAATAAATTATAATTATAAATATATAATTATAAACATATAATTTATATTATAAAAAAAGGAGAAGGAGGAAGAAGGAAAAAGGAGACGAAAGAAGGAGAATGAGGAAGGAAAAAGGAGAAGGAGGGAGTCCAAAACAGAATGGGACAGGACCTCTTTTTTTCCAAAGGGGGGAGTAAATAGAGTCCAGGGCTAACCAATGGCTGGGAAATTTGGTGAGAAAGAATACTGAGAGCTAGCTTGGGATGAGAGACCCACCAGCGCCCCCTGAGCTTCTCCCTTTGCAGAGCCTTCTTCCTTTCTTTACCCCCCAAATAACACCCCCTCCGGCTTCGCCTAGCTTCTCTCTTCTTCCATCTCTCAGTAGGAAAAAAAAGAGGGGAGGGGGGGGCGGGTTGAGATCCAGCACCGCAATGCTTTGCCGCAGCACCCTCGCTGCCTTTCCGGATCCTTTGGCTCCATCAAGAGGGGGGCAGAGAGGGGAGAAGATGCCCGTGATTTAGAGGAGGGGGTGTCCTTGGTTTCCTTGGTTTCCCCCCTTCTTTCCGGGAAGAGAAGGAAGATGGATTGGAGAGCCTTGAGCATCTTCCAGCAAAGATGCTGGAAGATGCTCAAGAGTCAAAATGGTCCTCTCTTGGATGGAAGATGCTCAAGAGTCCCCATCCTCTTGGCAAAATGGTCCTCCCTTGGATGAAGCATCTCCTGGTGCCTTACCTTTCTGGGCCAAAGGGATCTCTCTCTTTCTTTCTTTCTCTCTTTCTCGTTCTCTCGTTCTCTGCAGTTGTTCTCTCCGTACGTACGTGATGGGAAGTTGTGTGTCTCCTGTCTCCCCCCTTTTCCCAATCCAGAGAGAAAGAGGCAGAACTGGCTAAGGAAATGCCACGCTTTGCCTTTGCGCCACAAAAAAGCCGGCCAGGGAGACCCACAGGGATGAAGTGAGGCAACACATACACACACACACACACTGGGTCTGAAACACACACAGAGAGTATATATCCAAAGAGCTCCGACTGGTACACAACACAACACATACATACACAGGAAGGGAGGTCTGCCAATGCCATGCGACTCTTTGTGTCTCCCTCTCTCTCCCACGCTGAGATCCCACCAGATTTGGAGCTGTGCATACACTCAATGCACACAGATGTATGTCTTCTTTGTGTGTGTGTTTGTGTCTCTTTCACACACTCACAAAGATGCAACTAGATTTGGGGGGAGAGAGACACACAAGGAGAGTATGTGGGAATATCCATCCAGGTTTGGAGAGATATAATAATAGCTTGGAGAGATATAATATATATACGCGTGTATGTGGATGTGTGTGCGGTTGTGTGTGTGTTAACAATATAACATAATAATAATATTATAATAATATAAAATAATATAAATATAATAATATATAATAATAATATACTATAACATTATAATCATATAATATAATAATAAAATAATAGTATAAGATAACAATATAATAATATAATGTACAATAATATAATAAAATAGTAATAAAAATAATAGATAATAACAATACAATAATTATAATATGAAAGAATATAAAAGAATAATAAGATAATAATATAATATACAAGAATATAATAAAATAATATAAAAGAATAATATAATAATTATAATATGAAATATAAAAAATAAATAATATATAATGAAATAATATAATAAATATATAAAATAAAATATAATAATTAATAATTAATATAAAAATAAAATATATAATAATATAATAATAAACAATAAATAAATAATAATATATATTATAATAACAATATAATAACAATATAATGATTATAATATAAAATATAATATAAAAGAATATAAAAGAATAATAAGATAATTACATACAATAATAAAAAATAATAAAATAATATATGATAATAACAATATAATAATATTGTTATTATCATATTATTTTAGTATTTTTTTATTATTTTATATTAGTAATATAAAAATATAAAAGAATTATAATATAATAATATAAAATAGTAACAATATAATATAATATATAATAATAACAATATAACAACAATATATAAAATATATAAAATATATATAAAATATATTATAATAATAAGGTATCATTATTAGGTTTGGGGAGATATCTATACCTAATCTATCTATAGTTCGCCCCACATCTATTGATACTCTTTCCCTGCATCGGTGTCTCTTTCTCTCTCACAAAATCCGATTAGATATTGGGATATATACACATATATATAATACGCATATATAATAGTGGAATTTGTTATCTCTGTCCTGATATCTCTAGATAGATAGATATGTATAGATAGAGAATGCAAAGGGGGAATATATATATATATATATATATATATATCCCTCTTTGCATTATATTGCATTCTATGCTATATATATATATATATATATATATATATATATATATATTGCATTCTATGCTCTCTCTCTCTCCCCCCCTCTATATATATATATACATTGCATATAATGCAATATATATTGCATTATATTATATTATATTAATGCAATATATATGCTATATATATATATATATATATATATTGCATTATATCCTCTCTCTCTCTCTCTCTCTATATATATATATATATGCATTGCATATAATGCAAAGAGGGAAAGATAGAGCATATAATTATATATATACTGCATTATGTTATATTATATTAATATTATATTATATTATATATTATATTAATATAATGCAATATATATATATATTGCATTATATGCTCTCTCTATATATACATATATATATATATGCATTGCATATAATGCAAAGAGGGAAAGATAGAACATATAATGCTATATATATAGATGATATATATATAGCATAGAATGCAATGTATATTGCATTATATTATATTAATATAATGCAATATATATATATATATATATATATATATTGCATTCTATGCTCTCTCTCTCTCCCCCCCTCTATATATATATATACATTGCATATAATGCAATATATATTGCATTATATTATATTATATTAATGCAATATATATGCTATATATATATATATATATATATATTGCATTATATCCTCTCTCTCTCTCTCTCTCTCTATATATATATATATATGCATTGCATATAATGCAAAGAGGGAAAGATAGAGCATATAATTATATATATACTGCATTATGTTATATTATATTAATATTATATTATATTATATATTATATTAATATAATGCAATATATATATATATTGCATTATATGCTCTCTCTATATATACATATATATATATATGCATTGCATATAATGCAAAGAGGGAAAGATAGAACATATAATGCTATATATATAGATGATATATATATAGCATAGAATGCAATGTATATTGCATTATATTATATTAATATAATGCAATATATATATATATATATATTGCATTATACGCTTGCTCTCTCCCTCTCTCTCTCTCCCATAGCATATAGTGCAATATATATTGCATTATATTATATTGATATAATATTATATATTATATTAATATAATGCAATATATATATATTGCATTATATGCTACATATATATTTTGCATTATATACTCTCTCTCCCTCTCTCTCCCTCCCTCTCTCTCGATCTATCTATATATATTGCATTATAAGCTCTCTCTCTCCCTCTCTCCCTCTCTCTCTCTATATATATATTGCATTGACACATATAGAAGGGGATTGAATCAGGACCTACCCAGAAAAAGCCGCGCTCAAGGTTGCTCCAGCTCCAAACTCCAGGGGAAAACCCACAGCCAAAAAGGAACCGCGGACACGCGAGAGAGGCCCTGGCAGTGCTCGTGCCTGACCGAACGAGCAGAAAGAGGAAAGCCCCGGGCACGCGCAACGAGACGCAGGAGCGCGCACACACACTCTCTCACACACAAAACCCTGAAGAGCTGCTTCCCTTTGCGCACTCCCGAGGAAAGAAAGAGAGAAAGAAAGAGAGAGGAAGGATGGATGGAGTGGCAAGGATGCGGACACAAGCGACAGCAGAAGAGAAAGCTGACAATTCTACCATCCACCCCTCTCTACCTCTATCTCCCTCTCTATCTATCTATCTATGTCCACTCTCTCCCCAATTCCCCAATTCTGAGGAATGTCTTCCTCCCCTCTCCCCCAATATTTGCCCCCCTCCCTCAACCAAAAGGTCCCCCCCCTTCTCTCCAATATGTCCTCCCATCTCTCCCCCACATCTTCTCTCCAACAGCAAGGTGAAAGTCTCCATCTCTCCCCTCTCTTTGCTCCCTCAATTCTCTCTTTCTCCCCCGAATCCCCATTTTGGGGGAGGCATTGGTACCTTTGTCCGATTTCCAGATGCAGCCAATTGCGAAGGAAAGAAGGAAGGGGAAAGGGGGAGGGAAAGGAGGAGAAAAAGGAGTGAGGAGAAGGAAGGGAAAGGAGGTGGGGAGGAAAGGGGAGGGGAGAGTTAAGAAGAGGAAGAGGAGGAGGAGGAAAGAAGAAAGGAAAAGGTGAAGAAGAGGGAAGAGGAAAGAAGAGAAAAAAGGGGATGAGGAGAGGGAGAAGAAGAGTTAAAAAGAGGAGAAGGAGGAGGAGAAAAGAAGAAAAGGGAATGAAGAGGAGAAGAGGAAAGATGAGAGGAAGGGGAAGAAGAAAGGAAAAGGAAGATGAAGAAGGAAGAGGACAGGGAGAGGAAAGAAGAGAAAGAATGATGAGGAGAAGGAGAATAAAAGTTAACAGAAGGGGAAAAGGAGGAGAAAGAAGTAGAAGGAAAGAAGAAAAAGAAGAGAAGGAGGAATGGAAGAAGAAGAAGAGTTAAAAAGAGATGGAGGAACAGAAGGAGAGGAAATAGGAAAGAGGAGGAGGAGGAAGAAAAGGGAATGAGGAGGAGAAGAGGAAAGATGAGAAGAAGGGGAAGAAGAAAGGAAAAGGAACGTGAAGAAGGAACAGGAGGGGGAGAGGAAAGAAGAGAAAATTGTGAGGAGAGGGAGAAGAAGAGTTAAGAGAAGGGGAAGAGGAGGAGGAGTGGAAGAAGAAGAAGAAGAGTTAAAAAGAGATGGAGGAACAGAAGAAGATGAAAGAAGAGGAGGAGGAAGAAGAAAGGAAAAGGAAGGTGAAGAAGAGGAGGAAAGAGGAGGAAAGGAAGGAGGAAGGAAAAAGTAGAAAGGAGGAAGAGAGAGGAAAGAAGAGGAGAAAGAAGAAAAGAAAGAGAAGGAGAGAAAGAAGAAGATTTAAGAAGAAAAAGGAAAAGAATGAGGAAGAAAAGGAGAAAAAGAAGAGTTAAGAAGAGAAGACAAAGAAAAGGAGCTAGAGCAAAGAGGAGGAGGAGAAAGAAGAGGATAAGAGAATAAGTAAGATGAGAGGAGGAGGAGGAGGAGGAGAAAAGGGAAAAGAAAGAGGTGGATGAGAAGGAGAGGAGAGGGGAAACAAGTGTTAAGAGGAGAAGGAAAGAGGAGGAGGAGAAAAAAGAAAGGAAAAGAGGAAGAAGAGTTAAGAGAAGACAAGGAAGCAAAGAAGAGGTGGAGGAAGAGAAGGACGAAGAGAAGGAGGAAGAAGAGTTAAGAGAAGACAAGGAAGCAAAGAAGAGGTGGAGGAAGAGAAGGAGGAAGAGAAGGAGGAAGAAGAGTTAAGAGAAGACAAGGAAGCAAAGAAGAGGTGGAGGAAGAGAAGGACGAAGAGAAGGAGGAAGAAGAGTTAAGAGAAGACAAGGAAGCAAAGAAGAGGTGGAGGAAGAGAAGGACGAAGAGAAGGAGGAAGAAGAGTTAAGAGAAGACAAGGAAGCAAAGAAGAGGTGGAGGAAGAGAAGGACGAAGAGAAGGAGGAAGAAGAGTTAAGAGAAGACAAGGAAGCAAAGAAGAGGTGGAGGAAGAGAAGGACGAAGAGAAGGAGGAAGAAGAGTTAAGAGAAGACAAGGAAGCAAAGAAGAGGTGGAGGAAGAGAAGGACGAAGAGAAGGAGGAAGAAGAGTTAAGAGAAGACAAGGAAGCAAAGAAGAGGTGGAGGAAGAGAAGGATGAAGAGAAGGAGGAAGAAGAGTTAAGAGAAGACAAGGAAGCAAAGAAGAGGAAGAGGAGGAAGAGAAAGAAGAAGAAAAAGGAAAACAAGAAGAAGGAATAAGAGAAGTATGAGAGAAAGAAGAGTTAAGAAAAGGAGGAAAGAGGAGGAGAAAGATGAAGAAAATGGAAAAGAAAAAGAAGGATGGGAGGAGATGATGAAGATGAGTTGGGAAGAAGATGGAGAAGAAGAAGAGGGAGAAGCAGTAAAAGAAGGAGTAGAAGTAGAGGAGGAAAGGTGAGAAGGAAGAGGAGGGAGTAAGGAGTCCCTCAACAGCTCCCGGCCTCTGGTTCAGCCCAGGTGGCCTCCTTGGCCTGGTTTTGGGAGGTCCATCCTGTCATTCCAGCCTGGGCGTGGTGGCGTGGGCTTCTTCTCCATCTCCAGGAGCCTGGGCAAGGATGCTGGGCCATCCGGAGACCACCAAGGAGGACCTGGGTGAGGACTCGTCCAGGGCTGGCCCAGGGGCGCATCTTTCCCCAGCTGCTCTGCGCCTCCACTCAGTCCTCGCATGGCATCCCACTCCACAAGGGAAGGGGGTGGGCGACCCAAAAGCGCCTGAGTGTGTGAAAGGAGAGGGAGCAAAAGAAAGAGGGAGCAAAAGGAGGCGGGAAAGGCAGCCAGAATCCTCCCCTTCCCTCCTCCTCCTTCCTGCACTTCCCTCCTTTGACTCTTTCTGTCTCAGCAACAGCTGCAATATGCTTGGAGAAACAAGAAACATTCCTCTTATCCTTTCTTTTGGTTTGTTTTTGCAACAGAAAACCAGCCTTAATGGTACACCCCGCAATGCTAGCTTTGTAAATCCGTGGCCATTCTCAAGCTATAATCTGATGGAGATCTCCCCCAACCATGGATGGAGTTTTTCCCAAAGCGTAAAAGTCAACCCCTGCAAACAGAGCTCTTATTTAGAGATGCCGGGGAAGGACGAATATGGACCCGAACATCCGCAAAAGGCGGAATCCCAAGCAAAGGGAAAATCGAAAAAAATGTTCAAAAGGAGCAGCAGAAGAAACTCTGCTGCAAGAAACTCACCGCTGTGGCTGCATCCACGCTGCCGTATAATGCAGTTTTTGCAGATTATTATTATTATTATTATTAATAATAATAATAATGTTTCTAGAGCAGTGATGGGCAATCTTTTGAGCTCAATGTGTCAAAATTTGCCAAAAACCTGAACATAACTTGGATAGAGTGTCACTTCGAGAAAAAAACCATAATTTTGCAATATTTATAGTTTAAATAAGAAAAAAATGTATAATCCATGCTGAGTTATGGAGTGAACAATGCTCAAACGTGCAGATGTTAAATTTGCAGAGCCTTTTACAAATTTAAGGATAGAATTAGATTGGCTCTTGTTCATTCGTTCAGTCGTCTCCGACTCTTCGTGACCTCATGGACCAGCCCACGCCAGAGCTCCCTGTCGGCCGTCACCACCCCCAGCTCCTTCAAGGTCAGTCCAGTCACTTCAAGGATGCCATCCATCCATCTTGCCCTTGGTCGGCCCCTCTTCCTTTTCATAGAATCATCGAATCAAAGAGTTGGAAGAGACCTCATGGGCCATCCAGTCCAACCCCATTCTGCCAAGAAGCAGGAATATTGCATTCAAATCACCCCTGACAGATGGCCATCCAGCCTCTGTTTAAAAGCTTCCAAAAAAGGAGCCTCCACCACACTCCGGGGCAGAGAGTTCCACTGCTGAACGGCTCTCACTGTCAGGAAGTTCTTCCTCATGTTCAGGTGGAATCTCCTCTCTTGTAGTTTGAAGCCATGTTCCGCGTCCTGTCTCCACGGAAGCAGAAAACAAGCTTGCTCCCTCCTCCCTGTGGCTTCCTCTCACATATTTATACATGGCTATCATATCTCCTCTCAGCCTTCTCAAAGCTCAAGGTCAATACCCCGAAAAAAACCCCACAAGAACCTAGTGATTCCAGCCATGAAAGCCTTCGACAATACAGAAGAAACTCTGCCGCAAGAAACTCGCCGCTGTGGCTGCATCTACGCTGCTGAATAATGCAGTTTTCGCAGATTAATAATAATATTATTAATAATAATAATAATACCCCGCCACCATCTCCCCAATGGGGACTTGGAGCAGGTTACATGAGGCCAAGCCCAAATAACAATTACAATAAAGAAAAACCAAAACACAAACCAAAAACGCGAACAATAAACAATAACATCATAGTTACATAAAACATATGAATACATAACAATGTGAAAATTACAGTAAACACAAATTAAGTGTTTTGTGTTGGAATATATTCCGCCCTTCTCACCCCGCAGGGGACTCAGGGCGGATTACAATGTACATATGCACAAGCATTCAATGACACACATGTTAAATTGCCTCTGTGTCTGTCTATATATGTTGTGTGTCTATGGCATTGAATGTTTGCCATATATATTTACACTAGCGGTCCCCTGCCACGCGTTGCTGTGGCCCAGTCTGGTGATCTGGAAAATAAAGTAATGATTTCTAACTCTCTCTCTATAAAAGTACAGGGTTAGTCAAAATGAATAGGCCAATAAGAAAATTAATTTTAGACGAATGTATGTTTACTGTAACCAAACCACAGCTACGTAGCGACAGATAAACTATCAAAGTTTTTTTTGAGCAACACACATGTACGTTAATGCCGCTAGGCGTCGCTGTTTTCAAAATGGCGGAATCAAGCAAAGAGAAGGCGTTTTGTGTGATGACATTTGCTAAAACAATGTCAGTAATTACGGTCCAGCGAGAATTTCAAGGGTTAGGGTTAGGGTTAGGGTTAGGGTTAGGGTTAGGGTTAGGGTTAGGGATAGGGTTAGGGATAGGGTTAGGGTTAGGGTTAGGGTTAGGGATAGGGTTAGGGATAGGGTTAGGGATAGGGTTAGGGTTAGGGATAGGGTTAGGGTTAGGGTTAGGGTTAGGGTTAGGGATAGGGTTAGGGATAGGGTTAGGGTTAGGGTTAGGGTTAGGGTTAGGGTTAGGGATAGGGTTAGGGTTAGGGTTAGGGTTAGGG